TTTTTCATAATTCTCAATTAGGTCTTGAACGATATTAACGTAATCATCACTCTTGCTGTTGCCAAGAAAATTTGCTACTACCATTCGGAATGAGTTCCAAGCTGCTTTTTCATTCGTAGATAAAATATTTTCAAATCCATCATCTTTTAGTAGTTTTCGAATTTGGGGGCCATCAAATACTCCTTCTTTCACTTTTGCCAGCGACAGACGTGGAAAAACAGTTTTTAGGTAACTCGTCGATTCACCTTCCTTATCCAGTGCTTTAACAAAATTTTTCATTAGTCCCAGCTTAATGTGTAATGGTGGTAAAATAACGTCTTCAAACTTCACGAGAGCTGCATTCTTTACATTGTAATTTTCCAAAGTATGTTCCTCCCGTTTTGGCCAGAGTTTTGTTGAATAATGCTGTTCTCTAGCTCTACTATCCCATAGGCACAGGAAGCAGCAGTGTTTTGTGTAACCACCTTGCAATCCCGTTAACATGGCTACAACCTTCAAGTCACACGCGACCTTCCACTGGTGTTCTTTATATTTTATGTTTACAAACAACTTAGCCATTGTTTGATATGTTTCCTTCATATTAACAGCATGGGCGATAAGAACAGACGGCTTTTGGTTTCCATTATGTAGCAAAACAGCCTTTAAACTTTCCTTACTGCTGTCAACAAATAACCTCCAATCTTTTGGGTCGTACGCTTCACCAAGTTGCTTGAAGAGTCCGAAAATGTCGTGGCAAACGCACATGTCATCCTTCGTCATATAAAATTGTGCGTGAACCAAATGACGCGTCCGGAAATGAGTTATTTTGACACCTTCCTTCAATAAACGTGCATCCTTTAAAAAAGATCCAAGCAGCTCGGATTTATTTTTAGAAGATCCAGGATCCTCACCAAATCGTTCAATTGTTCCTGTGAAATAGGATTGCAAAATTTCCATTCTCCTGAATAGTTATTGCTTGAATCCGTTGTTCCATTCGACGAGGAAGATACCTCTCCTTTTTGGCGTTTTAGGGGCGGTATTTCCTCGGAAGGAGCAGGAAGGGTAAAGCCGAAGCCAGATTGTTTCGGGTAAACTATTTTCAAGTGTTTCCCAATTCCAGTTTTCTTTACTGAACAAAAGAAACATTCGGCGCCGTGAATATCTGTTTTTTTCATTATCATTGGACTACCAAAGTTAAATTGTTTTCTAAAAAAAATTTTAAGAAAAAAATAATGTTTAGAATTTTGGGAAAAGTTAATAGTTTTGTGGATTAGAGTTACTTACTTTTCGTCGTAATCATATGCTGTTAAATTCAATCTACACATTTGACATATACAGCTTGGTGCCCACTCTTCAACAAAACTTTCGGGTTTGATTTTAAAGTTTTCTTCATACTGTTTTTGGAGAGTTTCGGTAAAAGCGATTTTTATTTCGTTGATCATCATGTACTTACCACATATGTAGCAAAATGAGTCTGCTTGGAAAGCACATGCAAATGATCGGCCAGAGGTATCCATGACAATTGATTTTAATTAATTGCAAGATGTTTTGGTAAACACACGATCGTATTCTGAGGGAAGTCAAAACTACACTAAGGCACAGACATTATAGGCACAGAGTTATATATCCATGACTATGAATAGGTAGACGCGACGAGATCCAATTTTTGTGGACCTGCACTTGTGAGAATATAAAGGAAATATTTGACCTGAATAGGTATCCTACCTCTGATAACGAAAAAAGTAACTGTCAACAACATTTCATACCAAAGGAACGCGAACAGGTACCAAATGTACAACCCTTTTTCGTTTGCTTTGTTCCCAATTGGCAGTTGGGCCCGCCGCCTTCAAAAAGGTATTTTTTGTGCATTTTTTCCATATTTTAGGTTTGGTTAACGAATTTTAGCTCCAAAGTCTCTTCATAGATTTTAATGAGCGATACCTTAAACGACGCCAAATTAACGCACCTATACACAAAAAAATAGAGGACACAAGATATAATTTTTTTTCGACTTTTCCTGAGTTTTCAAAGTCAAAATTTCGTAAAAAATACCGCACAAAAATCATCATTTTTGCATTTCAATGCTTTATATTTCCCAGACGGTAAGCTGTAATCACAAAGTGTTTGAGCTTAACTTCTAGCTGTTTTAAATATCTTTTCAAAATAGCAAAGTTCTTTACAACCAGACGTAAGATACTAAAGTTATGTGAAAAAAACTATCGCTACCTCTGAAAAAAGCTAAAAAAAAAAATACCAGACTTCAAAAATTCTTCAAAAAAAAGTTCTGCCATAGAAAAAAAACCATAATTCTTTAAAAAATTTTAAATCCCCATATCTATCAGAAAAAGTCGGTTTGGATCCTTGAGGAAAAAAAAAGTTCGATTTTGTCGAGTAGTGTAATCTAACAAAACCAAACCTTTCATACATGACGTCTGAAGCCGAGGGTCAATTCCAAACCGGGAGTCCTTCAACCCACCCAACTTCCTAGAACAATACTGTGTGATCGAGGAGCGTTTTCCTCAATATCGTTGTTCAAGGATGGGGGTGTGTCAATCTCCAAGTGAGCTAATTAACTCGATGCGAAGAAATCTGCTGGAATCCAATAATAATCCGAAAAGTCGAGGGGGTTCAGTTGAGTGCTAGCCAATGACTATTTATTTGGTTTCTAAGTGCATGAGCACTGAGCATAAGCGGGCTTCTGTGTGGTGAATTCAATTACAAATTTAGTGCAAGAGCGTAACAAAGAGAGTAAAACATGAGCGTAAGGTACTACAAGGCGAGGGTCATTTAAGTGATTATTATATTATATTATGGCCTTAAGAGTTTGATCGAACATCCCGGCCCCGTTGAAAGGATTGCTTTCAAACTACCGGAAGAATTGCCAGCTTGTGTACTGGCCTGCAGCAAGTTCTATTCGCGGTGCGGAGGTGCACCACGCGTACACGACCATCCCTTCCGAGCACTGTAGACTACACTCGGCCTAGTTTCCAGCGTAGTGGGGGCAGGTTGTCCTCATGAATGATGACCATTGTGCCCTCAGTGAGATTCGTTGAGGGTGCTGTCCATTTCGTGCGAGATCGCAATTCGTTGACGTAATCCATCGACCATTGCTGCCAAAACCGTTGCTTGACGGCGGTGATCATGTCGTAGCGGTCCAAATTCGACAACTTGACGTTTTCGAGGGATCTCTCAGGCAACGAACGCAATGATTCGCCAACCAAGAGGTGACCAGCCGTAAGAGCGTTGAAGTCGTTCGGGTCTGACGAGAGTGGTGATATCGGGCGCGAGTTAAGGATGGCTTCTATCTCCACTACGACGGTGCTCAGTTCTTCAAACGTAAACCTTGTGTTTGCCAATGTTCGATTCAAGAGCCCTTTCGCACTCTTGACGGCCGCTTCCCAAAGGCCTCCGAAGTGAGGTGCCCTGGGAGGAATAAAGTGGAAATTAATAAAATCTGTGGCGCAAAATCTATAAATTTCATCTTGGGTCTCCTTTTTGAACATAAACCTTTTGAGTTCAAGCAGTTGATTTGATGCCCCAACAAAATTAGTGGCATTATCGCATAAAATGTCTGCCGGAAATTTTCGACGACCTCCCATCCGCTTCAATGCATTCAAGAACGCCTTCGTTGATAAGTCCGAAACTACTTCAATGTGAACGGCTTTGGTGAGAAGGCAAACGAACACGGCCAAGTATGATTTTGTAGGCCCCTTTCCTCGAATCCGTAGATAGGTATTAATGGGTCCACAAAAATCCACTCCACAGCGTTCAAACGGTCAGGCAGGAGAGAGTCGAGATGGTGGTAATGAGCCCATAAGTTGGTGTAGCAGCTTTGGTCTGTAGCGAACACAGTGTACACAGGAGCGGACAATTCGACGTGCCAAGTCTCTGGCGTTAACGATCCAGTATTCCAAACGAATGAGAGCGACTAAAGCCTTAGGGCCAGCGTGATAGTTGCGAATATGCAAGTGACGAATATAATTCCAAACAAGTTTAGACTGGCTAGGCAGCAGCAACGGATGTTTTTGACCGTCTGGTAGGTCTGAATATTCCAATCGTCCACCAACCTTGACGAGCTCGAATCCATTTACGAGTTCTAAAAAGGGAGTAAGAAACTTCAAACTACTCTTTAATGGTTTTTGCTTCTGAAGTAAACGAATATCTTCTGTGAAATGAGTTTGTTGAATGTTCCAAATAAGGCAGTGCGACGCAAAACGAAGCTCATTTGGTGTCGGTGAGGATGTGGTAGGCGTCGATTGCTTCCGACATCTCTTTATGAACCTTACCATCCAGGCAATGAGACGAAGACTATGACTGTACGAGCTGACATTATCGACTATCTCGAGGATATAATTTCTCTCCTGTACCGCGGTGAACATGCTTTTTCGCTTCTCCGAGTTGACCACGTCCATGTCAATGACAAGCTGTTTACTGCTGGTGGGCCATTTCAACGAATCTTCCAGCAGAAATAAGGGACCAGAAAACCATGTCGATTTGATAAGCTCGCTAACGTTGCAGCCTCGCGACAGAAGATCAGCTGGATTTTGATATGTTGGGACGTAGCGCCAGTTCCCACCAGACGTCATCTCCTGAATGTCAGAAACCCTATTCCCAACAAAGGTCGATAACGTGATTGAGTGTTGTTGCAGCCAATGCAATACGAGCTGTGAGTCGCTCCAAAAATATGACGTGATGTTGTGTTCAGAGAATATATCCTTGATTTTGTAGAACAGCTGAGACAGCAAAACAGTTCAAGAAACAAGAATACCAGATCTCGTAGCGTAAATGATATGTGCGTGTGTGTTTTATTCTGTAGGGGTGAAATACATTGGCTTAGGTCTAACCTCAACTATTTAGTTACTACATACCGCAGTCTTTCCTCCTACTCTTTTGGTCTCGTCAATCGGAATAACCCGAAGCGGGAAGCATGGCTTGACTTGTTAACTTTATTGTGACCGCAGGTCACCCAGATACCTAATTTCTTCAGAAATACTAGATGCGAATACTATCGATCGTTAAAGCTAATCCGTTCCGCGACATCCCGATCCCCGTGACGCAGCTGCATTCACCACGTACAGTACAGCTAACTTGGAGACGGGACGCATCATAAGCTTGGATCGATCGTCGCTGGCCACGCGCACCGCCGCTCGTCGTGGTACTCCGTCCACTCCAGCATACACCTCCTCAACGATGCCTCGCCTCCATTCTCTCCTTGGTATGGCAGGATCGCATACGTATACGAGATCTCCACGACGCATTGGCTCGACGTGCTCGCACCACTTCTCCCTGCGTACAAGTGTAGGTAGGTACTCATGTACCCAGCGTTTCCAGAACCGATCTCTCATTATCCGGACAATCCGCCACTATTTCCTTGTGGCGAACTTCTTAGGCGACTGACCATCGTTCTCCTGGAAGGTCCGGTACGCCGGCTGCTCCTTTCAGCAGGTCGTTCGGTGTCAATGGGGCTTCCTGATCAACCGTGACTGGCAAGTGTGTGAGCGGACGCGAGTTGACAATGTTTTCCGCCTCAATCAGGAAGCTTGCCAGCACGTGCTCCTTAGGAGCCACCTCCTTCACAGTATGCGCCAGCACCTTCTTGACGCACTGGACCATTCTCTCCCAGACGCCTCCCTCAGCTGGGTTTGCCGGACAGTTGAAGATCCATTCGACTCCTCTGGACGACAGTTCGCCCTGGATCTTCTCCGGTTCGAAGACTTCGTCGAATTTCCTGGCCTCTCTGTCAGCTCCGACGAATTCTTTCCGTTGTCGCTTCTCATCCTGACCACAGGTCCACGGCAGCACATGAAGTTCCTTATCGCGATGATGCACGAATCTGTCGACAAATCATGTGCCATTTCCAAGTGGATGGCCCACGACTGGTGAATAGTGCGACCTACCTCTTCTCCGTTCGACGTCCAAACGTCACCATCAGCGGCCCCAAATAGTCCAGGCCGGTATACTTAAATGGCCATCCATTGGCCTCGAGCCGGTCCTCTGGCAAGGGACCCATCATTGGCTGTCTTGGTCGTGCTCTTCGTAGTTTGCAGATGTGGCAATTGGTTACTATCCTCCGTAGTAACCTCCGCAAGTTGGTTATCCAGAACCTCTTCCGGATCTCGCATATGGTCGCATCCAGGTTTTGATGCCGCATCTTATCGTGGTAATGACCGACGATCATCTCTGCCAGTGCGTGTTTGTGCGACAGTATGATCGGGCGCCGCGCACTGAATGGCATGCACGCGGCCGCATCGATCCTTCCACACGCACGTATGACTCCATCTTCGTCGACGTATGGCGACAGCCCTCGTAATTGGCTGTCATTTGTGACAGTCTTCCGTTGCGTTTCCTCAGCGAACGCCTCACTTTGCGCCAGCCGGATCAGCATGCGCTCTGCCTCGGCGCACTTAGCCGCAGTTAGCCCGTATTCGTCGCTCTTCTCACGGTGTCCGCGACACCGTCGCATAAGCCGGAGGACCCAGGCAGTGGCCCTGACCAATCGGTAGTAGCTTGAGAACCTCTGCAAAGATATAAAGGAGTTTGCTATAACCAGCGCAAACTCACATGGCATCTCTTCTTCATCCGCGGTTTCGCGGGTAGCCACCATCACCCGAAGAAGAAATCGGCCACTCCTCCTCAGGTTCCCGTAGAAAGGGAGGCCCACTTAGCCAACGTGATCCTTGATCCAGATCCACGTGGATTTGCGGCCGCGTCGCATCGTCTGCCACGTTTTCAGCGGACAGTATCCATCTCCATTGGGATACTTCTGTGGACTCCAGGATCTCCGCCACCCGGTTTCCAACGAACCGCTTGTAACGCCGGTGGGTGCTGCTTATCCAGTGCAGAACCGTTTTGGAGTCGGTCCAGAGTACGCAGCTGCTGATCGATACACCGTGCTCCCTTTTTACGGTGTCCATCAGTCTCGTTCCCAGTACGGTTGCTTGAAGTTCCAGTCGTGGTATCGACATGGTCTTCATCGGGGCACATTTCGTTTTGGAACATACAAAATGTGCCTGCACATTGCCGTAATCATATGTGGCTCTCCAGTAAGCCACCGCAGCGAACGCCGATTGGCTTGAGTCCACGAAGACGTGCAACTACAGATCCCGCACGAATCCGACGACAAAGTAGTGGCGCGGACATCGGAATCCTCTCACGTAGCTCATCCCTAGCCGCCAGCTCTCAAACGCTGTGGCCAATTCTGCTGGCAGCGGCTCGTCCCAGTCCACTCCTCTCCGCCAAATCTCTCTCATCAGAACTTTGGCGGTCACCAGGTAGCAGCTCAAGAATCCGATCGGGTCAAAGGTAGACATGACGAGGCTTAGGAACTCCCTTTTGGTGGGGGCACGTTCCCTGTCATCACGCTGCTGGCCACCCGATGGTACTTGACAATGAATTTGAAGTCATCTGTAGCCGGCTGCCAGAACATGCCCAGTATCTTCTCCTCAGCTTCGGTGCATTCAACATTCATATTGGATCCTTGTGGGTTCAAAGCCTTGACCACACTTTCCGAACTGGAAGAGAACCGGCACAAATCGAAACCAGCGTTAGCATGAATTTCTCTTACCCGTGTTGATACAGCAATAGCTTCTTTCTGGTCTGCAAAGCTATCCACGTAGTCGTCCACATAGTGGTACTCATTGATGGCCAGCACCGCGCGGGGATCTGTACGGAGGTACCCTGAGGCATTTAGGGTCTTGACGTAGTGCGCTGAGCACGGCGAACATGTGGCTCCGAACGTCATCACCTCCATCTCGTACAGGTCTGGATCCCGCCGGTCGTCTCCATTCCTCCACAGGAATCTCTGGACACAACTGTCCTGTGGCTGTATCAACACCTGATGAAACATCTCCTTGAAGTCTGCGCATACTCCCACTGCTCCTTCCCGAAAGTGGAAGAGCGCGGCTGGGAGCGATTTGTACTGCTGTGGACCTTTAAGCAGAGCTGAATTCAGGGACACGCCACTAGCCTTGGCGGCCGCATCAAACACCAGACACCAAACACCAAACACCCGGGCTTGTTTGGGTTCTCGACCCCGAAGTGCGGCAGGTACCAGACCTTGTCACTGTTGACTGAAGTGACTTCCTGCTGCTCTAGCCGTCGTGCGTATTCCTTCTTGACGTAGTCATCCATGATTCCATTGTATGGCTGCGCGAAGTTCGCATCACGCCGCAGTTTCCTCTCGATGTTGACCAGTAGATTCAAATCCGAGACCGCGTACACATTCCTTAGCCCATGGCGTTTTGGTTTCCCAGTTCCGCTAATCTGCAAGCTCACCATCTTCGCGTTCCCATTGTGCGTTCCCTTCCCGCCAAACCATTGAATGTTCAGTTGTCGACTCTTGCCCTTCAGGTCTAGGCTATGCGCGAGTCTGTCATCCATCATTGTTACGGACGAGCCTTCGTCGAACAGGGCGTAGGTGTCCATTTGCTTGTTTTCCCCGTACAGAGTCACGGGCAAGATGCGGAATAGTAGATGACCTCCATCCGAACCGACACAGCTTAGGTTCCGGTGTGCGACTTCAGGGCCGTCCTTTGGCGCCTGCTTTTCGTCTAGGGGCCTCCTCGGGGTCGGATCCGATGGCTGCGATGTTTGTGGGTCATCCCTCTGTTGACCACCGCCGTTATGCAGTGATCGCTTGCGATTACCTTGTTGATTCCTCCGTGGCCCATTGTATGAGTGTAGTGGCCGTCTGGGATTGTCCAATCCGTCGTGCAGTAGGTAATGATGATTTCTCTGGCATCTTCTTCTTCTTGTCCCTTTTGCAGAACCTGACCATATGTCCACTTTCCAGGCATAAGAAACAGACCCGATGCTCCCTCACCAACTCAACTCGGGATGTTGGAGAAGCATGGATGAAATCCTTGCAGTCCTAGATCGTGTGCTGCCCTTCACATATTGGGAAACATTTGGTGCGGTCGTTGTGCCACTGCTGATCCATATGAATTGTGCTAGCATGCAGTACCCGTCGTTTGGGATCCTTGCTCCCGACATCCGTGATCGTACACACCAGTTTGGCGAGATCATTCAGCCACTCGCTCAAGTGCAAGACCGTTGGGTACGATCCTATTGCTGCAGCATACCTAACCCAGTCCAACCTTTTGCTCAGGGGCAACTTAGCAATCAACTCCTCCATCAGGGTAGGATTACTCTAGTGCTGGACTCCGTCGGTGGTTGACCGTAGGAACGCTGCGAGATTGCTGACTCTTGTAGCAAATGGCACAAGCTTGCTTAGATTGTGCTCCTGAATTGCTTGTACATCTCGCACGCTCTCCAGCTGGCTACGTATCAGTTGCTCTGGACGTCCATATCGGAATTTCAGCTGCTATGAGCAGCGATTTAACTGACTATCGCGCTTCACCATTCAGAGCCTTCACTAGCCTTTGGTTGTTCTCCAGAGCTATACAGTGGTACGCTGCCGTTGTCTCCATGAACGCGCATTGGAATATAGGCCATTCCTCTGGCTGACCTTCAAACTCAGGAAGATCAGGCAATCGACGCGGCGTTCATCCATTTGACAAGGTAGGCGATGGTGCTCCATATGACCCAAGCGGATTTGTGGGCATCATAAAGTTGTGTTGTGGCTCCCGTAGTGCCTGCACGTAACTTTGTTCTGGCAGCACCGTGGCCGTAACACAATATGGCGTGGAGTAGCTCATCGTTGTACAATTTGTGCTCAGTGTGACTTGTCGCCTTATAGCCAAATTTCCACTCAATTGTGGCGGCAAACTTCCACTCAATTGGAACGGCAACTGTGCATCTAAAGATGGCGTCACTCTCTCGGATAAATCTGGCATCAGATTCTCACTCGAACATTGCGGTAGATTTGCACTCAGTATCTGCCGCTCTTCACCCAAACACTAACTCCGTTTCCAACGGGTTTCCTTGCGGCTGCCTCTTGCCTTTTACTTGCCCTTGCCTTTTCCAGCTCCTTCTCCAAGATGGCGATCCTCTGCGTCAGTGCAGCAACTTGGACGTTGGTGGGATTTGTGCTCTGGCCTGATCCGTCAGGCTGTACAGCACCACTCGGATTCTTTCCTTGTGTCCCACTCCCTTAGGAGTCTGTGGCCGCTGCTTCGATCCACCAGCCGTACTCACGATGGCGATCGGGCCGTCAGTTGATGCGGCTGTGGTCGTCGTAGCTGCGGTAGCCCCGCTCTTTCCAATTCAAGGGCTCCGCCTGGGCGAGTGTGTGGTCGACATGCTAATGTGCGATCCCAAGAAGCACGCAAATAAAGGAGTGCGATGGAAGTGCGAATAAAAGAAATGACGCCGACCGACGATGACCGCGTAGGATTTGCTTTCAACACTTCAATATATCGACACCGAAACAAGAATACCAGATCTCGTAGCGTAAATGATATGTGCGTGTGTGTTTTATTCTGTAGGGGTGAAATACATTGGCTTAGGTCTAACCTCAACTATTTAGTTACTACATACCGCAGTCTTTCCTCCTACTCTCTTGGTCTCGTCAATCGGAATAACCCGAAGCGGGAAGCATGGCTTGACTTCTTAACTTTAATGTGACCGCAGGTCACCCAAATACCTAATCTCTTCAGAAATACTAGATGCGAATACTATCGATCGTTAAAGCTAAACCGTTCCGTGACAATGTATATATAAAGCCTAGTACTCAGATCGAAAAACTGTTTGCTAACAAACAGATGTCATATATTTTTCGAACGACCAGTGGTGTGACCAGAGGTGTGCACTGCATTCCGAACGGTTACACTGCTCAGACCGCTGCTTGGTTTTGTTTAAAGTTAAAAATGCACTTCTTCGGCTGGGGCCGCTCTTCCCCAGGCATATCCTGGGCTCCCCAATATTTTATTGGCAAGGTAATGTGTCTGACTATCAGCAGCAGCAGATGGCGACGCCTCCCGTGCCGACCACCAAGAAGACAAACTAATTTGAAAGCAATATTTGTTTTATATTTATGAAAATTAATAAAAATATAATATTATAATATATAATATATAAACCCTGATTATGTTTGCTAGGTGTTTTTTTCGATCTGAGTACTAGGCTTAACCAAAAAGCTGTATTTTCTTTTCGTGGTAGCAACCCCCAAACATTAAACTAAAAATTTGAAAAAAATGTATAATTTTATTAAATAACAAAGAACAGAATTGGGGGGTGTCACCTTGAAAAAAATAAAAAAATTTGTTGGTCAAATTTTGGCACAGCCTAATGTCATATTAAAAGATTCATTTAGCTCTAAGTTTAATAAAAAACTAATGTGACACCTAGTGACTAGTGCTCTAATTATAAGCCCCTTGCTTGTTGCACTAGGAAATACAATAAACAAACAATACAATACAAAGCGTTGGGCCACCAACATTTCAATCGGTAAAATGTGATTTTCACAGGGTTGGTCCACCAATTTTAGCTCAGCTGTTTCTCCACAGATTTTAATAAACAATACTTTAAACGACGCCTTATTAATAAACTTATACACAAAAAATATAAAGACACAAAATATAATTTTTTGTCGAATTTTCCTGAGATTTAAAAGTAAAAATTTTGAAAAAAATTCCTTACAAAAATCCTTAATTTTGCTTTTGAAAGCTT